GGCAGAGGCGGGGAGAAGGAGAGGGAGGGAGGGAGGGAGGGAGAGAGAGATGAAATAAATATAAATACAACAAAAATCTAAACCATCAAGTTAACTTGAACACAGAATAATATTGATTAAACCCTCCACAACATCAGTTGAAGGATGATTCATTTATAATAAGTGAGTGTTCTCCATCCAGGGTTTTAACTCATGTGTAACACATTTTTTTCCACAGTCAATACTGTAGAGAACAACAAAAGCTAACAATGCCTTCCTAACAACAGACAGACAACCTATCCTCTCAATATGCAAGGTTCCTGCTCTCCCAGACTGTTTCATATATCTGGTCACACACAAAAAACATCTACTGTAGCAGTGTAGTTGTATAGATCAGAGTGGTTTCACACATTGCATTAAACCAGAATGTGATGTTCACTTTTGACTTAGCCTGTTGTCCGAAGCCCAGCCAATATTATTTCTAAAGAACAGTTTGTGACAGTCGGTTGTATGCACCAAACCAACTGTGGTTTAATGCACAAATCATTATTAAATAAACTATAATGTAGCATAGTGTGTGAATCCGGTTATTATCTTTGCCTTGTATATTTCAGGATCAAGTCTGCAAATGCATAGGGCAGCACCTTCCTTTGTCAAGGCATCTGTCCCATTCTTAGATGGTGTCCATACTCCCATTTAATATGTAATAAAACTTGTGCTGAATCTCAGAAGATATTTACCATCTTGGAATAATGAGATCTTATATTTTGGGTACTACACAGTAGCTTGTGAGATTTTAGGTTTTGGAAGTCATGGACATCCACCACCAGAAAAGCCAGATTATTCTCACAACAGTACAATACCTAGTACAGACATGGCTGAAATATCATTTTGACTCAGTTTCTGAATTCTTATTTCTAATAAAATTTTGTTGCCATTCAAAAGTGTGTATTAATTAATTCAGTACCTAACAACGTTGCTGCCTTAATGCAGATTTTGGATATCATTTTTTTGTTTCGTAGCTTGAAAAAACTGGTTATTCTCTTAGAACAGGTAATTGACAATCTTACATTGCAAGGTAAGAGCTACCTTATTTATAATGCTCAGTATGGTTGATTGTTTAAGAACAATTTGTCAATGCATCCAGATAAACACTTCTAAGCTAAATGAAGAATGGGCTACTAGTTGTTTTTTCAAAATGCACCCAATTTATTGTGATTTTATTCAGAATCCAAGGTGTTGGACTCTATTGCACTATAAAACATTTACAGACAGTCCTTGTTTAACTACCACAAATGAGACTGGCAACTCAGTCATTAAGTGAAGTGGTTTCTAAGTGACACTGCAATTACTTCTGATGTTATTTCAGTTTTATTTCGCTTTACAAAACTGTGAAGGGCATAATTATTATCAAATTTATGTCTCACCCATCTCGCTGATGACTCTGATAAATATGAGGATTGTTTGTAAATTTATTTTTTTCACCACTGTCCCTAATTGAGGTAGTCACTAAATGAGGACTTAACTATATTTCACCTTTTTTAAAGCCTTTTTCATGGGAGAAAGATATCATAACCAAGTGAAAAATATAAGAAGGTCTCTAATTGATCAGACTAAAGCTGACCAGCATGGTTTTCCCAACAAGCAGCCAACAAGATCTCAAGAAACCGATAAGAAAGTCCAAAGTCAGGAGATCTTCCCTGTGTATTCCCCCTTTCCTTATATTGATTATTCAGAGATAGACTGCCTCTATTCATGAAGGTCCAGTGACATATAACCAGTACCTAACATTCAAAAGCAAATTTGAAGTGAGACAGGGAAGGAATCCTCTTTATCATTCTTGCCATGATGAAATTAATAGTCTAATGTGTAATTATAAAAATCCCCAGCTTGTAGTGGAACAAAGTGTATCATTGCAGAAAGTCGGCCTTCCTTCGTATTGGCACACATATTGTGAGTCAAATACAAAAACAGCGGTGCTCAAATTGTGATGTTGTAAATTACATTTCATCATTTTGGTGTTATTGGGGTTAGGAACATATGTCTGTCTATCTATCTATCTATCTATCTATCTATCTATCTATCTATCTATCTATCTATCTATCTATCTATCTCTCTCTATCTATCTCTTTAGTGCTGCAACATATAAAACAAATGTAGTTTAAGTACCTTGCAAGATTGGGAGAAAAGCAAAAAAATAATAATTTCCTTGTCAGTTGTGTCCAAATTTAGGGCATGATGCTCATCTCCGTTCCTTGGCTGAGGGAGCCAGCGTTATCCCAAAACAATTTCTGTGATCATTGGCCAGTATGGCAATATGCTAAAGGTACACGGAACCCTGTAATCTTCCCACTGAGTGGTACATATTAATCTACTTGCATTTGTATGCTTTCAAACTGCTGGGTGCTAAGGTAGCTTGGGTCTCAAACCTGGGCTGTCAGCTCTCCAGTTGGCAAACTCAGCATCTTTTACCACTAAGCTGGGTGCCCAATGGTGGGATTCAGCCAGTTTGCACCACTTTGGCAGAACCAATAGCTAATTTTTTGTTGCCCAGGCCCAGAATGGACTTCCGGAAGCGGCATCCACACAGAGAACCAGTTGTTCACATATTTGAATCCCACCACTGCATGTGCCCCTGGGAGAAAAGCAAGCTATAACAATTTTGCTTTACCAAAATGGTGGATTGAAATGAGCATAACATTGTTGACTGAAGTATTGCTGACTAAATTTACCCAATCTAATTTTGTAATGGGAAGGAGAAAAAAAAAGATGGTTTCATCTTTTTCTTTTTTTAGTCCAACAACTAACTGCCTAAAATTGCCTAATCTAGAGCTTAAGAGTGATGAGTGAACTTCACTTCCGGTTCATTTCTTCCATTATCATGAAATCCCATTTACTTTCTGTACCACCACAATTAAAGTAGTGTTTTTGTGAAGAGTATACCATAGTTATAAGTAATTATTTGCAGCTAGAGATTTGCATATGAGAGGAGGAGAGGTACAGCAAGAGGACAAGGTGGGCACAGCAACTATTTCTGACTTTTCCATAGAAAGTGGATGCCCTGGCAACATCCTCTTTTCCCATGTCTGAAGTAAGCTTAACGTCATAATTGGTAAGGGCTGGATTTGCATATCATGAAAATACACAATATACTTGGTTTGGTTTTGGGTCAGCCTGTTCTTTAACCCAACAACATATGATTAAACAAATAATGGCATAGTACAACGTGTCAAGCAGTTACATGTCTGCTTGATTAATATAGTTTATTACCCCAAAAATAAGACCTAACCGGAAAATAAGCCCTAGCATGATTTTTCAGGATGGCCATAATATAAGCCAGTGATGGAGAACCTTTTAGAGACTGAGTGCCCAAACTGCAACCCCAAACCCACTTATTTATCGCCGGGTGCCAGGTGGGTGTGGCCCACTGGGTGGGCGTGGCTGTGGTGGTCATGGCAGATTGGGTGGGTGTGGCCAAGGTGGGCGTGACCGCCTCGATGTTGCTCATGGGGATGGGGGAGATCCAGGGGGGCTGGGCAGGGATGGGGGAGATCCAGGGGGTCTCTGGCAGGTGGGGCGGTGGGCAAAGGCTCGTCCTGCGGGGTGAGGCGAGGCAAGACAAGGCAGGGCAGGGATGCCATTGTCACAGGGCAAGGTGAGGCAGGGGCTGGGGCAGCTGCTGCCTGACACCATCGGTCCCTGCACACAGAGGCCAGCGAGCACATGGGTGCTGGGATGCATCCGGCCATGTGGGACCTCAGTGAGTTAGTGGACGGCTGGATGAAGAGGGACAGTTGCCATCTCCGGGGCATGGCGTGTGTGCCCACAGAGAGGGCTCTGAGTGCCACCTCTGGCACACGTGCCATAGGTTCTCCACCACTGATATAAGCCCCATCCCAAAAATAAACCCCTTTTAAGCACGTCAGCCAGATGGACGCATTTAGTACGATATTTCCCCGAATATAAGCCCTAACTGGAAAATATGCCCTAATGCATCTTTTGGAGCAAAAATTAATATAAGACCCAGTCTTATTTTGGGGAAAACTCGGGTACAACTGCAGAAGCCAATGTCCATGGCTTTGATAGGAAGCAAAAAGGAGACAGACACATCTTGCAGTTGATCAAGAGAGCTCAGCTTTTATTGCTTACACATAATTGAAGCTCAAAGATGCTGAACAGATTGTTGATATTTACATATCTCTTCACATCAAATAATTATTTCCAAAGAGATTCGTTTGTGTTACTTATTTGCAAGCAGTCCATGATCAAACATGGGGAAAACATTTTCCTAATAAATAAGTAGTGATGATTAGGTTTTGAACACGCAACCACAGATAACATCTTTCACCAAGAACAGTTCTCTTTCTTTATATTTCTGTTTGTTGTTTTGTTATCATTCCTTTTTTTTTTTTACTATTCCTTATTATAGTTGAAATATTTTAAAAGCAAATGAGCTTTGATTTACTGATGTCACCAAGTAAAATTGCCTTCTACAATTAATCTCCAGTTTCTATTTTTCCTGATTAACCTAGATGGGCTTTCAATCCTATTTTGACTCTGCTTGCTTGAAATGACTGGCTAGGTCTGGACAATGCTGATCTCATTTCATTACTGAAACAAAATCATTCTTGTAGTAAATGTAGAAAGAAAAATAAAGGAATAACGGCACGTTAGGTTGCCTTGAAAATAATGGAATGAAGTTCATCAAAGGACAGTGGACTTTAGCACTACTCTCAGGAAAAGTAAAGCATGGTGAGATGGGCAGCAAACAAATTTAACAAACAAACAAACAAACAAGGCATCTACCCAAGAAAGTGATTGGGGGGAGGAATGTCATGAAAGAGCAGAAAATGACAAGCTATTTAATTCATTATTGTTATTTGATTGTCAGGAAGGGGAAGTCTCTCTGATAACAAAATAGCTTCATTGACCTTCAGTTTTATGTACTTTGATTGCAAAGTGGGTGGGGATGCTATTTTTTTCTACTTTTCCACAACCGTATTTGCCTTCCAAACCATAGATTATTCCTCTTGATATAAATCAATTGAAGATGTTCCTGTAGAGAAGGCCTGGCACGTTAAAACGAGCTTCACGGCTTTCCTGAACCAACGGTAGGAAAACACATAAATCAAGGGGTTACAGGCAGAATTAAAGTAAGCAAACCAAATAAGAACATCAAACACAACAGGAGGGGTAATGAAATCCAGCAGGCTGTCTACCATAGTGTCTAGGGTAAATGGCAACCAGCAAAAGAGGTAGATTCCTACTGCGATACCTAAGGTTTTTGCTGCCTTCCTTTCTCTTTTTGCAGCTCCTGTCTGATGTTTGCTCCCTCTGGGCTTTTTGTTCATGTTGCTGATCTGTTTAGCTTGTCTAGTTGCCACTATAAATATTTTTGTGTATAACCCTATCATGATGAGGCAGGGAAAGAAGAAGACTGGGAAGTTGATCCAGCCCCAGAGTTTGTTGTACAGCAGCTGACAACTCCCAACGCAGGGCAAGTCTTGCAAAAACTGGCCTAGCCCTTCCTCAACTTCTTGGTTGTAAAGGAAGATGGACGTGTAAACCACAGGAACCCCCCACCCCAGGGCTATGTAGATGCAAGCAACCTGTATGGTGAACTTGGTCGGATAGAGCAAAGGATCACAGATGGCAGAGTGACGGTCGACAGAGATAAAACAGAGGTGAAGTATGGAAGTCAAGCAAAAGACTGTGTCCAGAAAAGTGTGGAGCCTGCAAAAGTCATCCCCAAAATACCAGCAGCTCTCCACAGAGCGGATTGTGCTGAAGGGAAGGACCGTTAAGCCCAGGAGGAGATCTGCCAGGGCAAGAGAGAGTAGCAAGAAGTTAGTGGGAGTGTGAAGTATTTTGAAGTGGAAGATGGAAATCACCACCAAGAGATTCCCCATAATGGTAACTAAGACACCAATAGCACAGACCACATAAATGGCTAACTGGACTCCAAAGGGATGGAGGGTTCTTGAGCAGGAACCATTCATCTTAAAGCACAGTGGGACTGGCATAGTTTCTTCTGTAATGGAGATCATTTGGCTTCAGACTGCCTTAAATTTCTTTCTGATATAGCAAACGTTCTGTAAAAAAAAAAAAGGATATATGAATCAAGAGGCAGAAAATGTGACCCCCCCCACACTGGGAAACAATGGTTGAAAGACTGCTACTGTAGCTTAAGGAGTTAAGTGAAAAATGTGTGATCATTCCATTTGATATAATCCCATTGATTCAGCCCTTCTCTTTCTTGATATGTCAAGAATCATTCTTAGTTCTGATCCTTTACCATCAATCAATATGCGTATCTGTTTTATCTTTTACCTTTTTTAATATATATATATATATATAAATGTTGTATATTTGTCCCTTTCTTCCTATTTTTTCATTTCTGTGATGATTGAGACAGTGAAATTTAAAGATGAATTCAGTTTTGCTAGCTAGATGATATGGTCCAGGTGGCACAATGGTTAGAATGCACTATTGAAAGCTAATTCTGCCGACTGCCAGGAGTTCGAGGTTGACTTAGCCTTCCATCCTTCTGACAGGCTCAAGGTTGACTTAGCCTTCCATCCTTCTGAGGTTGGTAAAATGAAGATCCAAATTGTTGGGGGTAATATGCTGACTCTGTAAACAGCTTAAAGAGTGCTGTAAAACACCATAAAGTGGTATATAAGTCTAGGTGCTATTGCTATTGCTATGGCAGCTAGAGATTGTACACAGGTTTACCTCTTCAGCTTTTGAAACAAGATCTTAATGAAAGCAAGGAAGGATTTTTCCAATTTATTTGTAACAGGGCTTTGGAACAACTGGATATTGGAGGGTTCTGCCCAGTAAGAAAAAGAGAAGGGAGAATTAAGATGCACTGTGGGGACTCCTATAAAAGGGAATACTGGAGGAGGCTAAGGGGAAATTGAGAGGATTATCAGAGCTCCTTGTTAAAAAATGAATTTGATTTTTAAAAATTTTTTACAACCATAGAGGGTTGTGTGACAATGTGCACAAGAATGCCAAAGAAGGATTTGTTCAGAGTAGTTTGGCGAAATCCTTGGAGGTGAAGGAATAAAGACAGATGCTACAAGAGTTACAACCTGATTCCAAATGAGGATACTCTTGTCTCTCTCAGCTAAACTGGCCCCAGATTAACAGCAGAAAGAGAAAGGAAACAGGATGTCTTTGTTTGCCCAGACCATCAAGTAAAGTATGTTCTTGTTACCCTTCCCTGTAACATCTGTGACTGAAGATCCCCTCGCTAGTGTTGAAAGAAAAATCTTCATCAGGGTCCAGTCCAAGCCGGGAATAAACAACACGGAGACTGCTTTAGAAAGAGGTTGTAGTTTATTGAAGAGGAGAACCAGACAGAAAGATGGCTCTGGTGGCTTCTGCCTAGGGGCTGGGCTGATTTCTGGAGGCTGGTTTCTCTCCTTTTTAAAGATCTTCTCCATTATTCCTTTGTGGAAATATATTCTGCCTTTTTAATATTTTCCAAATATTTCTTTCTCTGGATTCTTCCCACACTAGCAAACTACCCATCCTGTATGATTTATATTTCTGGGTACTCTAATGTATATCCCTAATGATTTCTACCGTCCCCAGGTTTCCTACCTACAACTTTTTCTTTTCGTCTTCTCTTCCACCAACTATATATTTGCATGATTCTCTCTTCATTGTTCTCCTCCCAACCTTACCAAATTGCTTGTCAGGGTGGGTGAATGGGTGGGGTGCATCTCCTTTTTCTTTTTCCTGTAGCTTAAACAAGACTTCTGGGATGCTGCATACATGCACCCATGCCTACTATCTTCATTTCTCTAGTGGACTAATAAGGAAGGGGGAAAAAACCACACAAGAAAATGGAGAAAGACAGAAGAGAGGAGCTCTGTTTTTTTCAAAAGAAATAAGTCATGTTGAAATTAGAGGCTCTCCAAGCCAGAGGGAATGCTGTGTCCATATGCATAGTCAGGGCTTTTTTTCTCATAGAACGCCCAGAACGGAGTTCCGGCACCTTTTTTGGATGGAACCTTGTAGGGTAGGCAAGGCGGGTTGTATGACGTCTGTGAGTTCCGGCACCTTTTTTTTAAAAAAAAGAAAAAAAGCACTGTGCATAGTAGCATGTGATTGAGCATTTGCTAAATTATATACACACACAAACACACACACACATACTGCTTAATCTTGTATGTCTTTTGCATTGCTGGAAAGTGGGCTTTTTTCCAAACGACAGATAATAATTGATTATAATATGAATGAGAAAGCAAAGAGGATTTTTTTGTTATTTTTAAACTAACAGTGCAAATAGATATGTGTGTGAGAGAGAGATCCTGGTCCTCTCCCTTATGAAAGCATTGTATTTCTCTCTCTCTTTCTCTCTCTCTCTTTCCTTTCAAGCAGACTTTCCTTCATTTTCAGTTACGTGAAAAATATAAATAGAAACCCAACTTGCAGGTAACAATTACAATGCAATTATTCTTTAGCTGATGTACTGACGTACTGTTTAATAATTAAACTTCTAGTTTACAAAACAAATAAGCAGGGATAAAGAATTCTGCAATATAAATAGTGTCTATACTGATTTGGAAATGCAGAAAGGCGGAAGTGAACCTGAATAATGTGAATGTGCAATTGATAGGTATATTAGGAGACATCTGTTTTCAAATCAAACATCTTTTCAGCTCAAGGCAGTATAGATTAAACAATATACATTTGCATTGAAATGAACTGAGTGTGTTATTAAAATAAATCTAAAGGCTTTTTACAGCTGCAAAAAAGAAGGAAGAATGCATGCTTTCTTGGCTTGGGACTGAAATATATAAATAACATAGAAAAAAAAGCTTACCTGCTAGAGTCCACTGCGTTAATTTTCAAAGTCTGTCTTCATTGTGTATCTGAGGAATAGGAAATCAAGTAAGGCCTTATATAATCCAGTTGGAATAATAGGCCTCTCTAGTGAATATTATATTGGAAGGTGTGGTCTTCAACATGTTCATTTAGCAACAATGTGTGCGCAAGTGCCTGGAGGTTTATGGACCAGCGTATTCCTTGCTGCTTAACAAATGATAGCATAATCCTCCAATATACTGTATACTGTAATGACTTGTTCCATTAAAGATTACAGAGCTGCTACATAAGGGACAAACTGCCTATAAAATCTACCATAAAAGTGACACCTACCTCTGAGTCTTGCTGAACTGCAGCTCCTATCATTGCTAGGCAGTACCTCCTAATTATGATTGCTATTTGTTAAGCCCAGTAGTAGCTGCCCAAAGTAGCTGCATCAGTGAGATGGACGACATAAAAATCCAATAAATTAGAGGCAGTAGGCTAATATCACCAGTTGTTGGAATAAGACTGAAGAGACCTAAATGGACAAATATTTATTTATTGTGTTAAGTTTACGTCCTCTCTTTCAAATAGGAACCCAAGGAGGTACAGTATACACTATGGTCCTTCCTGTTTTTTTGCCTAAAACAACCATCTGAGGTACATTGTACTGGGAGAAAATGGCTAGCCCCAAGTCACCAACTGAACTTCCATGGCTGAAGTGGATTAAAACCTGGGTTTTTCTTCTAATCCAGGGGTAGTCAACCTTGGCTCTTTTAGGACTCGTGGACTTCAATTCTCAGAATTCCTGAGCCAGCTTAGCTGGCTCAGGAATTCTGGGAGTTGAAGTCCACAAGTCCTAAAAGAGCCAAGGTTGACTACCCCTGTCCTAATCCAACACATGAACCCTTATTCATTGTCCAAATACATCTGTCTTCTGCTGGTGGACTTCCCATTGGTTGGCAGTCATCATAATTTTACATTCTTAATGGAAGCAGAATAGCAATAGCAATAGCACTTAGACTTATATACCACTTCACAATGCTTTACAATCCTCTCTAAATGGTTTACAGAGTCAGCATATTGCCCCCAACAATCTGGATCCTCATTTTACCAACCTTGGAAGGATGGAATGCTGAGTCAACCTTAAGCTGGTCAGAATCCTTACTTTTCCATCAATATTGTCACCTTACTTATGTTAAGAAGTGACATTTGCATCTTTGGAGGCACTTTTTAAAATTCTCTAAGCAAATAAAAGAAAAAGAATCAGTTTTAGAAGGCTAGCATAACTGAAGTATCCAGTGCTTTTTTTGTAAAAAAAAAAAAAAAAGGTGCACTCACACACATCATACAACCCGTCTTGCCTACCCTACAAGGTTTACTTTTGTAGTTGAAAAAAAAACCCTTCAATTTTTAGTGTATCTAAAAAACTAGGATTTTGTTCAAGGTAAGTTAATACTATTAAGGTTACCATGGACTGTGTGGCTTTAAATTACAAGAAGGCATTTTATTAATCTTTTGGGACATTTACCACTGGCATACCCATTTAGTTTAATGAGTGGAAATGTCAGCTTTCTATGTGGAATGAAATTGGCCCAATAAAACAAAATTTGGTTACTTGTAAAAGATTGAATTATTTTTAAGAAGTTGTCAAACAAGGTGGAAAAATTTACATTTGGAGTTTAATGTGGATATTGACTTGAAACAAATTAAAGCTGAAACTTTGTCAGTGAACAGATTACTTTTAATTTACCTTTAAGTTAAACCCAATTTAATAAATAGATCTGATTAAACCTTATACTGTAGGTCTACCTTTACATCTGACCAATACATAATTAGTATATGTTATTATTATTAATACCTCCAAATCACAAGACATTGGCTTTATTCTTATTCTTCCTCTCTGCAGTTTGAATATAAAGTATAAAAGACTAAAAAGAGATTTTCGTAGACATCCCAGCCTTTGAACTACCCAAGGAACCAAAACAGCAAAGTTTTGCTGTCAGGCAAGCTTCCGTGCCAGCCACCTTTCTTTCCTCTCGCTTCGCATCTTTTTAACCTCACATACACCCCACCTTTGTAAGGGAAGGCAAAAGGCTTGCTCACCCTCTCGTGAAAGATGGCCTCCATGTTTGTGTGTCTCCCACCACCACCATCAGCTTCCACACGACATGGTCCAACCCAGCCAATCAAGCCACACTCTGGCTGTGGTGCTCCGGTGCCT